AAAAACCGGCTGATACACCTTCAGCAAATGAAAGGGCATAAGAGATTTCATGCAATGCTAGTTTGAAAGCACTGGTTCATTAAGGATATTAATTTTCTGATAACTACACATTTAAGCATGACACACTGGAGCAGTATCTACAGGATTTAGCAATTATTAATGCGTGACAGTTTCAAATGCTAAGTGAATCAATTAAACAGCAGCATTCACAATTTGAGAAGAGATAACTGCTTCATAACTGCCTAAGTCTACAATTTTCACATGACAAAAAAGGGCCATTCAGGCTCCTTCAAATCCTGACAGGTCAAGAAAGAAGTTTGAAACAAAAGCACCTTATAACCATCATCTCTCCTCTTTACTTGTCAGATCAACTTTGCTAGTGTCTCCGCTGAAATGGCATCACCATGCCAGCTGCCACAAGGTGATTTTTCATGTCTTGTCAAAGAAATCTTTTATTCTATTTGCTCTGCATTAACATGTTACATTTATTGATCAAGCCCTTTCTGCAGCCACAGCAGGGCACTGTGCTCTTATGCCTAAGGGGGCTTTGATGTCCTGGTGACATTCTAGACCAAATAATGCACATACTAAATGGATTTAATGCAGAAATGTGTTTGTGCATGACAGCTACATTAATAACAGCCCCTCACACTGATAAATATGCAATTGCAACTATTAAGAGTTACCCAATTACGGTGCAAATATTTGTCTACCTTATAAATAAACCCATCCAAAAGTTTTAACAGTAGTGCATTCTCTTACACATTTCAAGGCTGTAAAGATCAGTCTCAAGGCTTTAAAAAAATGTCACGTCTTATCTTGGGGACATTGGGGGTTTTTAAAAATTGTGTTGTTCATCACCTCCCTGTTCTGTGCGTCTTTATTTCTGCAACAATGGCAGGATGGAGAAAAAGAGTCAAAACAAAACAAATATAATGTTGTTCATCACCTCCCTGTTCTGTGCATCTTTACTTCTGCAACAATGGCAAGATGGAAAAAAAGAGTCAAAACAAAACAAAAATATAAAACCTTCCTAGGAGCTAAGAAGAACATGCACTCAACAAAGGGGGGCAGATTCTACCTTGCACTGCCACATACGTGCAGGCAAGAGGAAAAGCATAAAGAGGTGAAGAATTTCCTACTCCCCACCAAAGCATGGAGACATTCCACCAGCCTCAAGGAGTCATGGAAAAGCATTCCAGCGTAAGGTTTAGGATTCAGGGGATTTTTGCAAACATGCCCACCCAGCTCAACAGTGCTAATTATGCAGGTGCACACAGAGCATAAATTATTCATGCTCCTGGCAGAAATAATCTGCACACTGGGGAAGTGGGAGAGATACCTATCTATAATCCAAGCCCAATTATTGGGTTAAATCTTCCCTCATTGGCCAAGAGCTGAAGAATCACTCTTCTGCAAGTAAAACCAAGAGGAAAGTTCTGAAAGGAAAAAGGGAAGAAAAGCAAAAATTTCAAGCACTCAGCAGCAAATTACACTGGCTTCTCAATTAGCCAATCAGCAATATTATTTAGCAGAACATGGCACCCATACAGATCACGTGTGTCACCAAACACTAAAGTCCATGTGATCTTGAGCATGAAGAGGGGAATCCAGCACAGATGAACCCAGATGAAATAATAAATAGCACTTAGAAATCTAGGTGTTTCCTGGATGAAGGTAAGGAGGCTAGAGGAGAATCCAATACCAGTAATGACAAGTCTGCAACTTTCTTGCAGGAGCAGTGGTTCATGTATCTCATCACCTGGTCAAACAATAGTATATAATCCTCTCATAGGATTGAGCAGAAAATAGCTGCAAGCATCATTATGTTTAACAGATATTTTGCTTCTTAATGCTATTTTTCACTCACCAGATTTATCATAGTGATGCTAGATAAGATGTGAATGCAAGTAATTTAGTTTTAAAATTACAAAGCTTCCTATTTTAAATGTGTCAATTAAGTTCTCTTGCTTTTATTGCTAGATTAAGACACATCTGGTCACCCTTCTTGGCCATGTAACACTTAAGGCTTCTTGTCTACCATGCGAGGATGGTTCCTTAGCAAGCTCTGCCTTGCTTCCATTAACATCAATAGAAAGAGGACTGGACCCTAAAAGAACACATACTACATTTTGTTTCATTCACAATATAAACTGAATTAGCAGCTTCTCCCATCAGATCTGTTTCTTGTTTTCTCCCCACCCTATAAATTTTTAATGCCCACCAAATGCTAAAAATCTATAAATCTGCAAGCATTCAAGTAGTTAACTGTCTAGCAGATGGTAACAGTCATTCCAGTTATATCAGCCATTTCTATAGGAGATATTGGGGGAAGGGGAGTAAAAGAAGTTTGCTCTTTCCATGCAATAACCTTTCAATGGTCAAAAAAAATCTAACGACCAAGAATGGTTAGTGAGATTGGTATACAAAAAGGAAAAGGGAGAACTATCCCATAGGGAAGCATCCTGCCATTAATTTTATTTTTCTTTTAATTTAACTCCCAGCAAAAACATAAAACTTCCCTTATCTTATTTGGAAAGATCTGACTTTGCCCCTCAATCAAGCCAAGTCTCCACCTCTCTCCCCTCCAAATATCAAGAAGCTATCCAGCATGCCTTTCCCCATTTCCCCCAGAATTCCTTTCAAGGAGACCAAAATCAGGCTTTTTTGCATTTTCCAGTCAGTTCACCAACACCACAATCAGAAAATTACTCCTTTCAAGGAGACCAAAATCAGGCTTTCATCAACACCACAATCAGAAAATTACACACTCTACTACAGCATTGTCAGTTCTTCAAGCAAATAAAAGTGTATTCAAGTGGGATGAAAGGATTTCACTGTTGAAAACAAGTTCAGCCCATGCCCAGGACTTCCCTACCAAATGCACATCACTTAAGGCTATACACTTTCACGAACATGTGTTTTGTCTTATGCTATAACTGATGACACACTAGGTTTTCAGACATCAGTAATACAGAGGACACTATGTGAATTTGTATTTTTATCATGGTCGAAAGTAAACAAGGGAACCTTATTCTCTCCCTTTCCTCCTGTTAAAATAAACAAAGAGAAACCATTATCCTTCTCAGCTTATGTCCTAATTTCCATCATTCCAAGCAACTCTGCCCACAGTTATAGCCATTACAGCTTCATTCCATCCTCTGCAAGATTAGTCCTTTGTATGGTATCAAGCGTCACCACCCTAGATCGAAGGTGAGCAAGGAGATAAGTCTACCCATTTAACTCTCAGTCCCTTTGAGGTCTATCTATCTTTTCCCCTCATCCCTACAAGGATTTCACTCTTAGTGAAGATACTATTTTTTTTAAATGTTTTGTCACCTCCCTCCTTCCCCAAAAACATTATCAACTTCAGAGCATTTTATTTATTAAAGTCTTAACATTACAAATGAGTGCTGCTTAAATATTTCAGGAATAAACAGAATATTTGAGCACAATTACTGTTCAACCTCTGGCAGAAAAGAGGGAACAAATTCTTTTCCCAGATCCGTTACTTCCATACACCCAAGAACAGAAGAGCAATCCTGTTGGCACACATACAGGAGGAACACCAGAAATATTTTGAAAAAAGCACCAGCAGAAGTTTCCATATAATCCCATCAACAACATTGTGTTGTCTGTTCAGTTCGGTTTAGAGGATGTCGTCCTCGGTGAGCATAAGTCACATGTTAGATTGTGCCAGTCATCAGCATCTACAATGCACAGACTGTTCTCCAATGCCTGATTTGCTCCGCTATGTCTTGTGTATCTGAGATCATAATCAGTGTTTGAGTTTACAGTGAAATGAGGTATCTATAATACGTTTTATCTACTGATTTTTATTTATCTATTTAGAAAAACAAGATACTACAGTGTTGCTTTCAACTGTGAATTTTTACAAATAGGCTTAGGCAGGGGTTGGCAAATACAGGCCCCTGAACTGGATCCGGTCTGCCAAGATTAGCTCCTGGCAAGCCCCAACCACTATATTTACCTGCACAGCCTCAGGTACCGGCAATTGCAGCTCCCATTGACCACATATCACCATTCCTGGCCAATGACAGCTGTGGGTAGCAGTGCACCACCAAGAACGGTGATCTGTAACCAACGGAAGTTGTGATTGCTAATACCTGCAGATGGGCAGATAGATAGTGGTCGCTCTCCAGGGTTCGCCTCTGGCAGACAACCACCACTCTCTCTCGTTCCATTGACGCCCATAGAAATATTACCATTACCACAGTTGGAGAAAAATGCCTGCTTACAACAAAGTAAACTGCGGAATTCCAAAATTTGGGAAGTATAACCTTTATGCAACAGCCCAGTCAACTTCAGACTGAAGCCAGTAGGATTCTATTCAAATTACTATTAAAGAAAAACAAACAAACAAGTGTCTCCTTTCAGTTTTGTTTTTAAACCAGTCCAATGGAATTCTTTACGTTGAATTAAATTGTAGAGGCCTTTTGTTTTAACAGTTCAACACAATTTATTTTAACAGACAGTATTCCAGAACATTGAAAATCACAACTGTCAACATGCAAGGAAAATGGGAAAAAGGAGAGCACACTTACTTGTAAACGTTGATACTGGTGAAGCACTGTTGGACTCATTCTCCATTTTTTCCCCCCGTAGAAAATTGTTGGTTTGCTTGTTTTCCCGCAAAGAGCAAATAAAGACAAATGCAAGCTTTGCTTTGTACATTATCTGGATTGATGCTAAAAGCTTTTGATAGACTTACCTGTTCATTATTTCTCCACATGCTTTAAACATGTTAACTGTAAGAAGAATGTCTACAAAAACAGTACTACTATTTTACAACAGCAAAATATATATATTTGATAACAATTAAGACAACTTGATGTATTTTTTTTAATCCTTATCCAAACAGGAAGAGCATGTATATATAGCAACTGAAAATATGGGGGGGAAATGAAAATGTTTAACTTTTGGAGACACAGCCTAACTTTGCTTATACTGCATTTGATAAACCATACATTGTCACATACCTTAACAAGTTGAAGCTAAGGTCTAGCCTTTTTGCAACGCTTCCATATTTTCTTCCTAGAAATTCTGGAATTTCTTTGCAATCTTGACTAATATAGGACACCTGCAAATTTAAAGAGGAAAAATTTAATAGGTGAACACTGCATATTTTCTCTTATTGTTTCTTCTTACTGATCCAATGACATGGCAAACAAAACAACATTCACTACCATCTTCCATACTACATCAATTTCAATACGATGGACTCCACCCAGAGTCTCACTTCTCTTTTAACAGCTGTTAATTCACAGCCAAATGTAAATAGAATTGGGATTGCTACATTTGGGAAATCAATGCTCACTGGCAAGTTAGTAGTTTATAATACTTCACACTCCCATTAATACGTCGATCTAAAATTCTCCAAGGTGAATATAGTTTTCTGGATTCCCAATTTGCAACACCTTAGATGGAACTGATTTTCAGAAGGCTCACTTTCTAAACCTTTTGAAGTGGCTCAAGCCAAAAATCACTAGTTACTACAGATGTTAACTATCGGTTACACACTTATACAAATAGCAGATTGAAATTTTAGCAGTTACACATTTACACAAAGGTGGGGGCAGGCGGGAGCCCTCTCTTCCTGCATCCTGGGGCGGGGAACAACAGTTTGGTGGAGGCCAATATGCACGGGGGGGGGAGGGGGGGAAGAGTCAAGGCAGGAGCCGGCTTTTAAGCCAGCTCATCCTCCCCCGCTGTCTGTCGCAGGCAGGAGGGAGCCAGCTCCATGGAAGGCAGTACACTTGGCGGGCCGGCTTAAACGCTGGCTCCTCCCTCTCCCCACTGCCTTGATGGGACACAGTGGGTGGGGGGAGGAGGGGGCAGCAGGAAAACATGCAGTTGATAGGATTATCCGGTTGCCCAGACTTATCGGTTTATCACATAGTTGACTACATGTTGACATCCCTACTAGTTACCTCAAAGTTTAGACCAGAATTTCTAAAGCCAGTCAGTCAGTAGAGTCAGTCAATCCTTTTTAACCTATAAAAGGCAAATCTTATACCCATCTGTGTAACTGGGAAATAGTAGAAAGGCTATGTAAATTGCCAACAGACAGCAAGGAAGCTATAGCAAATCAGATCCAAAATTAAGCAACCCTGAGGAGCTCTTGGTTTACAGCCCTGTGCTCAGAACACACTCCACCTTTGTGTATAATGTTTTACATATCATGGGGAAACTAAGTATTGAAGTGCATAGACAACCAAGATTTCTCCTAGCCATGACAAAGTGACCTACATACCTCCACAGTATCTCCAAAATATGACAAAGTGACCTACATACCTCCACAATATCTCCAAAACGGTAGGTAGGATTGCAAATGTTTTTTATATATAAAAAATTTATTTGCAAACAAAAATATTTTTAACAATTTTGGTTTATCTGTTGGGGGATTCTTGGAAGGAATCAGGCCTA